TATACAATCTAAAAAGAAACTACATATTTTGAGGATCCAATGCCCTCCAAGCACTAAGTAATACTAATAATTTGATTAAACTGGTTTTATACCAAAAATATTCATGTATCTCTGCCCTTTCAGGCCAAGGAACCCATGTCACGAGAAATGTACTTTTTATATTCTTTTCATTTGTACAAGCAGCTATTTTCCTGACTTACAAATTACATGTGATCTGATATATAAAAAAAAACTAACAATGACTCTGCCCATCAGTTCCATCTCGGTACTGCCTTCACACTGCTGCAGACAGTCTGGTTTAAGCATATGCCTAGTTACTGTGAATCTGATCTGATGAAAAGCTTGCACACTTTACTGGGAAATCTAGAATTGTCCTATGAGATTTATTGGCCAGATACAGATTTGAGGTCTTTAATTTTGAAGGACAGTATGTTTGTTGTTGTTTACTTCCTTGTAAATGTTTTATGTGCTATTAAAATAAAAGCTTCATTAAAAAGGGACCGTTAACCTGCTACCTGATTTGACAATTCTAATACTTACCTACAACACTTTTGATTCCATCAGAGAAACTCTTGTTGATGTCAGTCTGCTTGGAGCAATTGTTCTGTAACAAGTGATGTCACAGTCAAGTTCATTGCATAGGCTGGTTCATCATAAACAGCCATCAAGCCAGAGTAGTGAGCTACTTAAAAACAGTTGAACGGTAATTTCCATTTCAGTTCTTTTTTTCTTTAAAAACTGTTCATACCAAATCACATAGGAAAATCCTGTGAGAATTTATACAATGATTGTCGTTGGTTGGCTGTTATTCCTTCTTGCTTTGCATCTAATACACAGAATTCCAAAAGCTAAGGTGAGTACATTTTAAAATATGTTTGGAATTTCACCTAGGATATTTTAGTTGCAGAAACAAAGGAACTGGCTGGGGCTGTTTTTTTGTGGGATGTTACTGAAAATATGTATAGAAATTATATCAAAAGCAAAATTATTCATAAATCTTATTTCTAAGAGGAGAAAAGTATGCCAAGCTATTTTAAATATTCTCACTTCATGAATTACTGGATCATTTGACAGAAGGGTGACACTGTCAATTTATTAACTATTTACTCCTTCTACTGGAGCACATTTTTTATTATATTTTTGCTGGTTCTGGAGTCATGCAAACATCCATTTAGGTCCATGTACCGCTTGCAACTAGCAGTGACCCAAACCATGACGCAAAGGCATCAAGAGTGTGGCAATATACTATGTGTACATAATAGTTGTTGCAATGTAGACAACAGTAGGTTGGCTTGAAGGTAGTATGAAAAATTAAAGGTCTTGGCTTCCATGATATAGCATGACAATGCTTGAGACAAATCTGGTCTGTGGTTACACAGGCTACATTCCATGTGGTGTAGGAGTAATTAAGACTGGTAACCTAGTCCAGTGGTTTTCAACCTTTTCTTCACCATGGATCCTCCTTTAAATATCTTTTGTGGCTACAGACCATGGCCATGGACCTTCAAGACTTAACTCAAGATTTAAATCATAACATTTCTTCAAGACTTTGTGGACTCCCTGTGATGAGACCTAGTCTATACCTTAGCTACCTTCCTAAAAAGCATTATAAGAAAGTTGCAATTGACTAAAGTGGTGATGTTCAGTAGAGTTTGGAATCTCTGAGCTTCTCTGGTGATGTTCAGTACTTGTGGAAGATTACAACTTGAAATGTAAAAAAAAGTCTATACAAAAGAAAACATATTAAAAGACAAAATTAAAGAAACAAAAATAGACATATCAATGAAATTATAGGAAAGGAGAAAGGTATAATAGATCTGAATGAAGATGCCCTGATCTTGCAGACAGGAGCTGAATATTTGCAGGAAGTTAAGGTACAGTTTAATTAGAATGAGAGGGCTAAATGTCAAATATATGAATTGGTGTTACCTATGTTTGTGGCATATGTTTGTTATAGGAACATATGAATGTAGCAATCCATAGACTGAAGATAGTTGCATATTATGTAACAGTAATGGAAATACCTTAAAGTAGTTTTGAGAAAAAATGTGCAGTGTTCTGAAGGAACACAGTCAGGAGAAAGAAGAAATTCTGATAGTGGATTGTCAGGAATGAGATAAAAATGCAGAAAAAGTGGGCCATTCAAGATCTAAGAAAGAACGAGAATGGCAACTGAGTATCTGTTGGAAGTAAAGCATATAGGAGAATAAATCAAAGATTTAGCAAATTGTTCAATACTAACTGTACAACATAAAACAACAACCAAAGAATTAATGCAAAACAATGCAAAAGAAATGCTTCTAATCTTAAAGTTATATTGGTTGGGAATGTAAATTTTTTATAAAACTGATATTGTAAGAATCTGAATGATTTGCATATATTAAAGCCTGAATGATGAGCATGGATCAGAACATTAATAAATCAAGGCTAGGGTTTTGAACCAGTGTTTGACAGATAATGGCACGAACAATTGCAAGTTATTTATAAATTGCTAAAAACTGAAGCATTGTTCTTTAAAGAGAGGTAATAACCAGATTTATTATGAAATAAGCTGTCTAAATTTCTCCAGGCTTGCAAAGCCATAAAGCAGATTAAGTGACATATATGGTTCATCTCTCCTATTCTTAATAAAGAATAAAATAGCCCATTCAATGTAAATGCAAAGTGCACCTGTGCAACATTCACTTCTTTATGCTGTTATGTTACTTTTTCACAGCAAATTTTATTCTCTTAACTCTTGAAAGAATGAATGGAAGATGAGGACCACTGTCCATCTTCTGCTTTGTGACTATCTTCAGCCCCTTTTCCTTCCTTTGAAACTTTGTTGGAGGATCAGGAAATGCCTTTGAACAATTATGTTAGGGCTATCAAGAAAGAGTGAATAAGACCCAGTTTAGAAGAGACATAGTCTTGGCAATTGTGGTTGAAGTTGTTTTTGCAAATGTTCATGCATACTTAGAAAAGGTGGGGAAGTCCTCCTCAAAGCAGGCATGCTGAACTTCAGGGGCATGGAGCACTTTGATTCTTCAAGTAGTGGTTTGGGTATACATGGAGGCATCTGCGTGTAAGGGTTCTTTGCAAAACACTTTTTGAAGTGGCTGAGTCAGCGCTGTTGCTTAGGTGTGTTGTATGAAAAAAGAAAACTGTCTTTGAATCTTCCCATAATGAGCAGTGAGAAGTGCAGTAAGATAAATAAGTTGAGTTCTGGAAATTGCTACCATTTCTGTGGTGAATATTTTGAGATTAAAACAGTTTTAAAGGAAAGACAAATATTTTAAAAGTATTTATTTACAAGCATGGAACTGGAATTGAAGAGGGGGGAAGCGTTGTCCATTAAAGACTGGCCATTAACCTTAACCATTAACAGCAATCAACAGAGTCACCCATGACTCATAAGGTCTCCATCTTCTGATCCAGAAAAAGAGGTCTGGCTGTCATTGGATGTTTCACAAGAAAAGTATATGAGGCACCTATTATTTTTTAATCAAAGATTAAATTAATGGACGGGCAGAAGAAAATATATAATATAACTCTGAAATTCATTAAAAAGCCTGATTTATATCTTCGGCGTGAGCAAATATTTGCAGACTTGGCCGTGGTTATCTTAAGACAAGCATTTCCCATTTATCTGCTCTTTTTAAAAAACATATTTCTGCAAAAAAGAAAAAGTCTTTTGTTGAGGATAAAGCATAGCAGTCTGTCTATTAACTTTAGTCAGCTACATTGTTTCTTTAGACCCCGATAACCAGAAATTGCTTATCTATCAATGCAGAAGAAAGAAAAAGAAAAGAGCTCAACTTTTTTTAATGCCTTTATAAAAGGCATCTGGGGAAGAAAAGTGAACATCTGAAAGGGTGTCACAGAGAAGAAGGCTAAGACTTGTTATCTGTCGTTCCCAAATGTAGGACTCGGAATAAATGGTTTCACGTTGGAGGAAGGGAGGTTTCTGACTGTAAGAACAATTCAGCAGTGTAACTAATTGCCTGTAGAAAGGGCGAATATGTTCAAGCCAAAGCTGGATAGCCATTGGTCAGGAATTGTTTTAATCAGGGACCAAATAACCCTTTGCAATCCCAAGTTTCTAACAATGATTCCAAAAGAGAGGAATGGGTACTGCCTTTATGAGGGAGTAGACAAGATACAGAGGCCTGGATTTAAATTTTGTTTTGATTTAGAATTGGAGACAGGACCTACTTTTCTCCAAAATTTACAATTAAGAATTACCAGCATTTTGTGATAGGCAGATCTCATAAGTTATCTGTATCTTGCATGAAATCTTATGTAACATTTTCCGTTTGTTTTTAAAAAAATGTTTTTAGTATCTATGGTATCACGAAAAATCGTGGTGCATATTGGCTGAAAAGAGGGCTGACTTCTGGTTTACAGAATGCTCTTTTTTCAGCATAAGGGAGAGACTTGCTGGTTCTTTCTCTCTGCAGCTTTTGCAACGTTCTTCATAGTTTGAGACATGCAACCCATCTTACTAGATGTTTAATTTTGCGTTTTCAAAACAATGTTGTTAACCTGCACATTTGTAAAGATATTAAACTTGAAAGTATGTGAACGATGCTTGGGGAGATTTTAGAGAAAGTTTCCAGAGGTCAAGGATAGATTTCAGTGCCCTGTATAGGATTTTCTTTTTTTTAACCTTCCTATCCTGGGAAATAAACGAAATAAAATAAAAGAGGGGAAAAAAGTACATGATGCAGATAATAATTGATTCAATACAACAATATTAAATAATTTCATATAGACTTTAGATTTCAGTTTCAATAGGATAGAATAAAATATAATTACTGTATAGTTGCAAAGCAAGCAAGCAACAAAGAGAATGGCTGAACGTTTATATCTTCCCAATTTAAATTCCAGTTAGTATCTTGGCCTTTTGGCCTGAGTTAAACTTCTTAGTTTAGTTCCTTTTCTGTATGAACACTGATAAAACAATATATGTTGTTTCTTTCATCAAATGCTTGAGTGAGATCTTCTGTATTTGGTTACAGGGGGAACCAGCAAAGAACGAAGGTGAAAACAAACCTTAATTGGCATGCTCCCTTAAACAAACGTAGCCTAGGACAGAGTTTCCAACTATTTTAAGAACGATGGTCCAGTTTGGAAGTGCAGTTTAAGGCATCAGCAAGAAAGGAGATTTCCTGCTCATGAACGAATAGTTAATGAAGAACTGAAGACAATGAAGCATTTTGTTCCTGTTGTTGGTAACTCATAAAACCCTTGCGAGCATCATGTTATATGTTCATGACCTGGACTTTCCACATACGTTACTGGGCTCCACTAGGCACAGAGCAAAGTGCATTTCAAGTGTTCTGTATTACAGTATATTTGGAATAGATTCATTTTACACTTATCACTTATGGTAGAATGTTTGAGAGCTGATGCAACTTTTGATGGATGGATACTTTAAAAATTGCCTACTAGCTGCCATGGTAAAAATTCACATAACATTTAAAAATGTATAATTTGTGGGGACATCCTCACGTAAATATTAGTATCAACACAATTGGGTGTTTTTGGTAGAAGTATTTATTTAAAAAAAAATTAAATACCATCTTAATTACAAATTTATAACTAGGAAGGGCAGGAATAAAAGAGCAAGTGATACAAGAAAACTGCAATGAGGAATAATTAAACAGCTCAAAATTGAAAATATTTAGACTGCAATCCTATTCTTGTCTACGCATGAGTAAGACTCCTGGAATTCCACTGGATGAAATTCCAGATTAGTGTGTAATTTGGATTGCAGACTGAGATGTTCTAAATGCCTCAGTGAATTAAAAATAAATAAAATTTATGGTACTTTCCCTTTCTCACAGTTGTTATGTACATGTGTCTATATTGCTTATAAATAAATAGATAACCTGATCTCCATTTTCATCTTCCCAATGCTGGATAACACATGACAGTTCACGAGAGCAATAATTAGCACACAGTTTTTGCAATAGATTCACCTCAATTTGTTTGCTTTTCAGATTTTATTGTAACTGTTTAAAAAAATCGAGACTGCAGAAGGATAATAAGATTCATAACTTTATAAGTTAGAAACAGTTATAAAACATAAGTTTTGTGGATGTACATGAGCATAAGATTTAATGTCCTAATTTATAATTTCTTGAGAAAATTTATAAATTTAGTAAAAATTAAATAAAGTCAATATAATTCATGATGAATTTAAATAAACACTAACAACATGTTCTTGACACAAACTCCACTTCAGAATAGGAACAAAGTAATGTAGTTTACTTCTTTTTCAAATTTTAGTATTGTTTCTATATGCATCTGAATGCATAAAGAAACTTCAGGCATATTATTTCATAGGTATTAGCAAATGTTATTAATGTACAATAAAAGCCAGGCTTATAAAATCATATGTGGTTGTATAGGAATTGCTATTAGTCAGCCTATGCCTATTCAGACTGATAACCATACATTTTCACATAAATATAATTTTGGGGTTTGGCTAAACCTTTTCTTTTTATTTTTTTTATCTTGGACTAGAATTAAATAGAGCAGACTTCTCAAAGAAGGAAGAATAAGAGAATGGTCCCCAGAAAGATTCAATGCTTCTTTACTCAGAAGAAAAAAATTGGGCACCATTTGAGTTCAAACTAGTTCAAATTAGTGGCTATGGTTTATATTCTTCCTTTGTCCTCTGCTAATTGTGCAACTTAATAGATAAAAAAATTAGACAGTGGCCCAAATCTCTTCTGCAGCTCTTTGAAATACCCTCACTTCTCCCAAGAGTTAAGACAACTCAAAATAATGTAAGTTAAACTGTATGGGATTGCATGGAGGGAGCTGTAGGCAGGGACAAATACTTCAAATCAGGTGGTAAGATGTTACTCCATGTAATTGCCATTAAAAGTCCTGTTTGATAAAGATCCCCTCCAGCAATAAAGTCAAAATAGTCAAGATAGTACAGAGACACAAAGGATAAAAAATTAAACGGACATATTATCAGACAAAGTTTGATAAAAATATGGAACACTGCAAAGAGAAGAGTAAGTCCAGTGGTTTTACTCCTATGTTCTCCCTCAAATGCTTTTCACGTTGGAAATAATTACAAGAAAAAAGTAACTACTTATCCAGATATGGTTACCTCGAATTCTATGAACAAATTAAAAAGACAGCAAGATCTACTTAGGCGCAAGTTGGAATACGCCATGGTTATTTACAAATAACCAGAAAGATAAATCAGAGATCAAGAAAGATGGAGGAACATCCAGAATAAAATAAAAATAGAATTTGAAACACTCAGATAAAATCAACACCATCTATTAGGGCACATGTACAGACTTTTAGATTTAATACACAGATAGAACAAACAAAAAATGTATATGACAAAATGGATGTAAAATTGTAAAGAAACAGTTGTAATAAATATGTCAATGAGAAAAAAAATATGGGCTAAATCTATAAAGTTTACACCAAGTGATAACTTAAAGGAAAATTGGTCCAAAATATTTTATAGATGTTATATAACTCCATTTATTATATAAGATAGACAAATCACATAGTAATAATTGTTGAAAATGCCATAAAACAGAGCAACATTTTACTATATGAAATGGACATGTAAAAGAACTCAAAAATAGTTGGAAAAATATAATACAGAAAATCTTGAATTTAAATTTGAAATGAAACCACAACTTTTCCTACTAGGTTTAATCTTAGAAAAAATCAACAAGAAATATAATTTAATGAGCTACATACTCATTTTGGGAGAATAAACTTTGCTCAACCTGGAAGAAAAACACAGTCCCATCCATATCTAACTGGGAACTTCAACTTGGAGGATACACAATAACAGCAAAACCAACAGTATATATTCACAATACAAGTTTAACTAAATTTAAACAAAAATGGCCCTCATACATGCAACACATCATGCAGCATGGTAAATATAGCCAGTTACTGTCTAGCTTCTAAGGGGGCCTGAACATCCACAAATATTGCAAATTAGCAAATGTATAAAAAGTGAGAAATTAAACCAATAGTCATTTTTATTATTTTTCATTTTCCCTTTTTAAAAAAAAAAGTTTAAAGGACTTTCACTTTTGCTCTGTCACCTTGGGCCAGTCACTTGTCTCAGCCTTAGGAAGCAGGCAAGGGCAAACTATTTCTGAAAAAACTTGGCAAGAAAACTGCAGGGATTTAGCCTGCCAGTTGCCAGGAAACAACACTGGCTCAAAGGTACCCCTTCCCAAAAGCAACAATACAATTTTTGATTCATTCATTCATCGATTGATTCGTTTATATCCCACCTTTATTATTTTTATAAATAACTAAAGGCAAGGAACTTCTATACTCCCTCTTCAGTGAGGTAAATTGGGCTAACAGAAAATGTCTGGCTCCAAATAACCCATCTGGCTTTCATGCCTAAAGCGGGACTAGAACACACACTTCTAGTTTCTAGAGCAGGGGTGTTAAACTGCCGGCCCGCGGGCCAGATGCATCATAGTGAAACCGCGCCCACCCCATTGCCGGCAATGGCAAAAAAGTCACGATACGCCACAACACATCAAGTGATATTGCGAGTTTGACACCCTTGTTCTAGAGTACTACATTAATTACTTAGTTAAAGATCAAAAGTATTATCATAATCAATACTTTCAGTTGAAACAGTTGTTTTCTTAATGTTATATTTAACTTTGGATGAAAAAGACAAATAATGGTATGCTTGTAATAGTGACCTAAATTGTAATATTTTGTAATGTTTCATTTCCTTTCACTATATTTTAAGCTACCTAAAGTAAAAAAAAAAGTTAGTTTTTAATTAGAAATATAAAGAAAAAAAATTAAAAGTCAAGATGGTGATTGCACCTCTGTGATCAAATCCCATCCCTATGGTGTCAGCACATATACAAAGGGGGTTAAGGCTTTCTTTGTATGGTTATAACTACCTCCTTGACTTTTGAGTACCCTTCCCCCCAACACTGCTGAATCCCACTTCTGGGAAATGGTTCCCAAGAGCTGCAAAGAGAGGAGAGTAAGATAAATATTAGCTATACAAGCTGCCTGCCTTCTGCTTGCGTATCTATTGCCATGCAATTAGCTTACAAATACAGTAAATAGTATTTTCCTTTTCCATTTATAAATGTTTTACATTATAAAGCATAATCAGAGGGATATCTTATTTTAATCACGCTTAGCACCTTATTTGCACATGGCAGAATATCCAGTTATTAGGTGTCCATACGCAGATCCAAAGGCAGGAAAAGTTTAAAAAGTTGCTCCCAGCAAGAATTCACCAATATTTGAGATACATGCCTACTTTTCCCTCAGGAGTTGACATGATTAATTAGCCTTCTTATTTTCAATCACATTTACAATCTATAGCCCTTCTACTCCAAGACAGTTGAATGACAGAAAGAAGCAGCAGTTTCACACTGGCTTGTTACTCTTTAGGACAATGGAGTTTGCCTCACTAGGGCCATTTTTTCTACTATCTCACTGCTCCAGAGTCATCCACAAGATTTGTTCAAACAAGTCAAGATGGTGGCCTTGATAGTATGTTTAAACCTGTTTTTTATGTATTGTATGTGTGCAGGAAAACCTGTAAGCTATGAAAAACTACTGTGTGTTACTAAATTATTTATACGTGCAAATAATATGTTTCTTCGTCTTTGGTGAAGCTGTGGATATTTTTACTCCAGAGTTGCCACCTAGGAATACAGCATAACTGCTCAGGAGCATCTGCCTTTTAAAATTAGTTTTGACATCTAAGTAGCAAATCATTTAAACCTTTTTTCTCTAGGGTCCAGACTAGGCAGACAATAGACTTTATATCTGCACAAAGAAAATAAATAGAGTAACTGATTTATTGTACTTTCCAGATGCTCATTATGGAATGATACCATTTATCTTTTCCAAAAGAGTTCTTTATGCTTACTTTTTCAAAATACTATAATCAGTCTGGCATTTTAATGCCACCATAGTTTGATTACAATGTACTAATTGGAGTCAGCCTGAAAATGTCTTGAAAACCATACCTAGATCAAAATAAAATTGCCTGGGAAGAAATGAGATTTAAATGCTGGACATAATCTCAACAATATCACTTAATTCATGAGTCTTTGTGATTGGCTCCACCTAGCATAATAGGAATTTTATGAACAGTAAGCAGTCCTGGCACTTGTTTTGGAAATCAGTGAACTTGCTTTTAAAATTGAAATTGTTTTCCGTGCCATGCAACTTAAGCCTTCAATGGCATTTACATTATACAAATTTGATTTTACTAGTGATTATGCTTTTACCATATAAAGAATACTATGCACTTTATTTAGTAAGCCCCTAAAATATTCCAGCCAATTTGGTAGTTTCTGCATCCTAAAAAGGCGATGGATTGTTAAGACATGTAGGCCCATTTGCCTACATGTCTCACAATTCTTTTTAACACTGGCAATTCCAGAGACGTTATTCTATAGAAAAATGGTGGAAAAGATTCAGAAAACTGCAAAACCATCTCCCTCTCAAAAGGGTCCCAAAATATATTTTGTTTTGAAACCCTAAAACCTCCTTCTGCCCATCGATCCAGTTCCATAGATAGTTAATAAATATTCTTGAGTCATGAAATGAAAAAAAAATAATAATTTCAAGTCATAATATTTTATGGAGCTCACTTGAAGATTTTGGACATTTTAACAATTATCAACATGGTTAGTACATTGTAAAAACATTTATTACTCCGTTATTAGTTATTTTACACTGTTGCAGTTCTTTGTCACATTCTTTTTTTCTCAGAAATACTTTGAAATTAGTCTTTTAGAAAGATGCTCAATGGCATCTCAACAGCTGCTACAAATTGAAGCAAATAAGCAACAATCTAAATACAATATTTAATGTCTGCAATTTTATTATATACATCATTTGTTTCGGACTGTATTCGGTGCAAAAGCATACAGTTTAACTGAACTGGGGGAAAAACAGTTATGCTTAACAGTTTTTACCTGAATTGTCACACGTTAAATATAATAAATTTAACAAAAGCAGATGGACAAACCCTAAAAGTATCCTCAATTATATCTAACACTTGATTGTATCGCTCTGACTCAACAAAATAAATAGAAATCCAAACATAGCTATAAGAAGTTATTTACTTAAGTCTCTTTAAGATTATTTTCTTTCCAGTGTTTTGGTCTCCTGCATATTATAGAAATGTACTTTAGTTGTAAAGGTAATTAAAGTTACATAAGTGAAAAAGCCAAATAAGTAGTTATATGAGAGTAAAAAATGGGAGCTTATAAAAATAAGTTTGTATACATTCTTATAAGATTCTACTTTAGAGAAAGAAAAAAAATCAAAATTATTTACTCAGGCTTTTCCTGATGTACATTTCTGTTTTCTGGTTAATTTTCTGCTGTAAAAAGTGTTAAGTACAACTGAAACATATAGAAGACAACTATAAAATGAAGCCTTCATAAATACAAAGTGCCCTTAAGTTTTATTTAATTTTAATAAACATTAACTAGTTGTGCAAAGCAAGGCCTGGAAGGACTCGATGTAAAACGACTTTATTTCATATTATCAAGCTGCAACACAGCATCTTTGACAGCAGAATTAATGCTATATTTTTTTTCTTCCTACATTCATAGAAAGTTTATATATATATATATATATATATATATATATATATATATATATATATATATATATATATATATATATATATATATAAAAGGCACATCTTCCAACCATTGATCAAAATCTGCAATTCAAGTTAGAGTTTTCTGAAATCACACAGAAAGGATGGTATTTGAATCTTCCTCCTAACGCAGGGGTAGGCAATCCAAAACACTCAAAGAGCCACTTGGACCCGTTTCCCACCAAAAACAAAACACTGGGAGCCGCAAAACCCTTTTGATATCTAAAATGAAGATAACACTGCATATATCCTTTTTTACCTTTATTATAGGTGTGTGTATGTGTGTGTGTGTGTGTGTGTATGTGTATGTGTATATGTGTATATATATATATATATACCCAGACACACAGACACACATATACACATTAAAAATAAAAGTAAAAATATGACTCTTGGGAATATCCATACTATTAAAACAATGATCACCAAGAGAATGCTTTAAGAGAATAAAATTACATACACACACAGGTAAAAAAAGGATATATGCAGTGTTATCTTCATTTTAGATGTCAAAAGGGTCTCTCTCTCCCTCCCTCTCTATCTGCCCTTGGTCTGCCACTCCTCTTCCCCCACTCTCTCTCTCTCCCTCTCTCTCTCTTTCTCTCTCTTCTTTCTCCCCCCCTCCTATCTGCTGCTCACCTGGCAAGCTTCAAGCTGTTGTCCAACAACCTCCGGGTAGGCAACCTCGTCTCTTTTATGACTCATGGACTTCAACTCCCAGAATTCCTGAGTCAGCCTAGCTGGGCTAGCTAGCTCTCTCCTGCCCTTCCTGCTTCCTTCACAGACGCAGCAAAGGGAGGAGCTCCGCCCAGGAAGCTTTTCAGCTCCTCGGAGAACACTGTGAGTGCACTCTCTTTTACACACACACACACACACACACAACACACACACACACACACAAAAAACACATACACACACAGAGAGAGAGAAGCAGGGAAGTGCAATTGCCTCTCTCTGTCTCTGTCTCTCTCTGCAAAGGCAGAGGAGGCTGGGAGCCACAGGGGAAGGCTCAAAGAGCCGCATGCGGCTCCGGAGCCGCAGGTTGCCGACCTGTGTCCTAACGGCTTCTGTCAGCTGAAATGGAAGAGCGAGGGGGCATTCTATCCCTTCACAGCCCCTAGAATTAATGTTAGGAGAGACTCCAGAGTAGATTGTGGGAACATATGGGGAGTTGCTTTAGGACAGGGGCAGGCAACCTTGGCTCTTTAATGACTCGTGGACTTCAACTCCCAGAATTCCTGAGCCAGGCTGGCTCAGGAATTCTGGAAGTTGAAGTCCACGAGTCATAGAAGAGCCAAGATTGCCTACCCCTGCTTTAGGAGTAAAGAATGATTTAATATCATGAAAAATGACATATTTCAGTTGTTCCGTTTTGCTTTAATATTCATACATCTTAAGAGAATCCTGTTGTACTCTACTTCCCTTACAAATTCACTAGCCAATTTTTATAAGTTTTTTTAGACTGCTGTAATTCTATGACTCTCAGTTTAGTTTTTAAAAATAAAAGATATTTTCCTAAAGTGAAATAATGCAAATAGACAATTTATCATAAAAAGAACATACAATTTTGGATGCTATCTTTGGAATGCCAGATAACTTTGCCACACTATATCTAATGTAAATTTTAATAAGCAATATACTTACTAAAAGCAATAAATTAGATAAAAATGAAGAGGTTAGGTTAAAGGTTAACTTCTAGTTAATTATCTTCCAGTTATCTTCTACATAACAAATTACATCCAAATATTTAAAAATACAGTAGTCTTGAATTAAACTTGCAGTCAAAGCATGCCATATGTATTGGGGAGATTCTTTTCACAATTCTGAACTAAACACAAGTTTGTTATTACACATTTTTTGCTAAGTCAGAGGTTTGTTGAGGACATCATCTACACAGATATCAAAGAGGCGCTGAGGAGGATTTCAATACTTCCACATTCAAATTATAAAATAAACAGTAACTTGGTCATGTTTCAACAGTCATTATCTTGGATAAAAAGATACATGAGTGCACCTGAACAAAGTAGTTTTTTATAATATACACTTCTGTAAAAATAGCACTAGTTGATCACAGTAAACCAAAAAGTAAGAACTCCTGTTTTGCGTGCTAATTATAGCAATCGCTAAACTATTTCATTTCAGCAAATACAGTGCCTTACTAAATTGAGAAAAGTAAGTTTCATAAACAAAAATATCCATTATTTTCTTTGTTTTAATTCTGATGTTTGACCTTTTTGTCATATTTTAATAGCCGAAACCATCCTTTCCTGATAAAGATTTTATCTCCTTGTGATTATTCTTTAATACATTCTTTCCAGAATATTCAATTTCCAATTCTCTCTGTAATCTCATAGACTTAACTTTTAACTAAATAAATTTTCTTGGTAGGATTGCATGATGTGTGTTAAGAAATATTTAGACTATTTTTATTTTCAGTGACTGCATTTTCCATGGTTTCTTCATGAATGAAAAAGAATATTGAACCGGATATTCAAATATTAAACTGAAACTCCAAAACACAATTTTTATAGAACAGAATGATCTGTGATTCTCTAGCAATTATGAAATGAACATCTCTGTTATTGTGCATAGCTTGAAATCACTGTGTAAGCAAAGCTTTTTAAAAGGAAAAACAACCATTTGGTAAACCATCAAATGTTGTTTTCTGTTAGAAATCTTTTCAGCAATCTTGTTAAGCAGTTACACAAAGCAACTAGAAAGATGTTTATATTTAGTAAAACGTAGATAGCATCTGAATAAATACAGAAATAAACTCTACTGGCAGGCTTTGCAGTTTTTATAAAGCTTGCAGTTAACCTAAGAGACCTAAATATTTAAATTAAATCAAAGATGTAGAGAGGTGAGTTATAAACGAAGGCAAACTAATTTTTTCCAAGATGATTTATTATGACTGGCAATGAAGTTTTAGCCCCAAGTATGCGAACAAATCATTTGGTCACATTTCTTACTAAAATAATGTCTGAACGCCACTAATAGAGATTTTCTGCACTGCAAAAGAGAAAATAATTGGCTTTCAGCGATACTTCAACCTGATGCACACAGAACCAGAAGGGGTTCTGAATTCAAGAGTGGAGAGAAATAGCCCTGGGTTGAGTGTCAGAAACACATCGTTTCAAGGGAATAGAAGGAAATTCATAATGGCAGGCATGTTGCTTCTGTCTCATTTCTTTATACTGTTTGTTGCTATGTACTTATTTCCATGATGGTTATTTGCAGGGAACATCATCTTTCTATCAGCTTGTGATGTCAAAGCTTTGTAGTATTAGGGTTTGGGTGTTTTTTTTTTTTTTTTTTTACATAATCTTGTCAAACAGAAATCAGAAAATGTTAATATTGCTTTCAACATCATCATCAGCTACATTTTTAAACCTGTGCTTTATAGGAAGAGAAAAAGTGACTTAAGAATCTTGACTCAGGACACAATCTCTTTTGAAAGATAAAAAACATAAACATTTTTCTATTTGTATGGAATGGAAACAGACTGTATTGTTATTAGGGCCCACTAGTTGCAAGCCAGTGCATAGTCAATCAGCAGTCTGCTGGCATCCTTGAATTACTTTACATCATAGTATAATTAATTTTCATTTTTATTCCAACTAATATTCTCCATTAGTGCATTTATTTGCGTTTCAGAAGGGGAAACTTGGCAGTAATTAAAGGTCAGTATTTGAGCGTCAAACTAAAGAACATAATTTTGGATCCAGAGTTGCCTCTCTGTGAGCACAGAAAAATCATTTCTGTTCATGATAAGGACTGGGTTCCAATAAAAACTTTCTGCTGAAGGAAAAGGCCAGACCAACATTTTCTCCCAATTTCTTCTTTTGAGACAGTCCCAGTAACTAATTCCCATCCTGGAATTATCCTGGAAAATATCCCAGTATTTCCACGGTGTGGGCAGTGGTGCTGAGTGCTGAGGAAAAGCAGAAAATCATATCCCAAATTTTCCTTCTCCAAGGCCTGCAGAACTTTGCACTGTAAAATCTGGCACCAAATCCTTATTTCTATATGTCCATTTTCTACATGATTTCTTATTCTTTCATATGCAAGTACAACTAAAGCTAAACTTTGGAACAAATAGTAGAGTAACAGTAAACCAAAACTGTGGCAAATTGGCTAATGTGTTTTCAACTTCTTTGTTTGCTTTTTGCGTTTCAGTTCCTCCTCTTCACGTTTCTGTTCTTCTAGATCTTCTTGCACTCCAAGTCTCAAGCTAGAACATAAAGTTTTAGTCACCATAAAATTTAAAAATTAAGAAAAACAGCAATTTTAAAACCAACAGTGGGATCTAAACATTTTTATCACAATGAATTCCAAGCAACAACTCTTTCTTATTATGATTGCTAGTTTACCTTCATATCTGAATAAGTTTTTTTCATTCTATGAAAGAAACTACTTTTCCTGGAATTGAACCAATGTTTGAGTATGATATAATTATGTTACCAAAAAAGAGTAAGATAGAAAAGATGGTTCTTATCTATGAAACAGAGAATGTTTACATAATAAAAGAGACACAATTCTGATGTTAGAACAATATTCAGAAAAGAGAGGAACAGTTCATTGCTGATCTATAAAAGGCTGCTTTCTAACAGAGCTATAGCAAGAGTTGTGGCTACAGTAGTGCTACCATTACTATTACTACTAACAATACATCCCGATTATCACTTCTGTATTGCTCTTAGTAAGACTCCTTTCCACTTCCCATGCACTCAGATCGCATCATGAAAATTCATGAACAAAATGTGATAATTTAATGCTTTGAACTTTGGTCACTTTTTTTTAGTGTTACAATAATGATCAAAATATGTGGTTTACATCTCAACCCCTCCCAAAAGCCAAAGAAAGTCACTGTGTGACCACATCTCTTGTGGGTCTCAGTAGTTGAAAAAAAAATGCATACCCCGAACGCTAAAAGTATGCCCACCGATGTATTATACCAAGCATAGGCAACTATGGTAAGGACTATACCATAAAATAGTTTCTACCACAAATGGTAAAAATTAAAATATGAAATGATGTAATTTCATTATAAATTTCTCATCCTACACGTTTAGAACATTCACACATTCTGAACAAGAGACTTTCCTTCACCTACAACAACTACTTGCAGGTATCTGCTCTCCTGCAACAGACAACCAAAGACTTGTAACTAATATGATTGGGAAAGAGACTAGAATTCTAGTTCACTTATTTGCGAAAGTAATCTCCATTTCCTGTTATTATGATTCGGAAATATCAGTGTTTCATAATGGACATTCTGTGTTTTATAAGGGATATGACTGAGGGATGAGGTTATTTTGCTCTAGGAAGAAGAATATATTGCTCAAGAGAGGGAGAGGCACTGCTTTTAGTCTACAGCAGACATGTCAAACACAAGGCCCGGAGGCCAGGTGCGGCCTAAGAAGTGGTTTTATGTGGCCTGCGAAGCCATCCTGGAAACAGTGAGGGAAGGGCCCCCGCTGCCTTGGCCCTGGCCCAGGCCAGCTGGGAGCCAATGTACGATTTTGTGGTGGCCATCTTGGCACTAGCCCCAGTGGACCATGCCTTGGCATTTGCCCCGGTCCCACCCCCTTCTGCCGGAGACCCTCAGATCTGTCCCACTCCTGCCCAGGCCTCCATAGGCACCCTTGATGCGAATGATGTAGAACTGGCCACGCCCACCCAGTAGGCCACTCCCACTCCATGCCCACCCAGTAGGCTGCACTCACTCTAGCCACACCCACCTGGCCCTTCCAGGGCAACCACAATGCTGATGCGGCCCTCAGTGAAATTGAGTTTGACACCCCTGCTCCACAGGTAGTCCTCGACTTACAATTCATTTAGTGACCGTTCAAATTTACAAGGGAAAAAAGTGACCGAAGACCGTTTTTCACACTTGTGACCGTTGCAGCATCCCTGTGGTCATCTGATCAAAATTCAGATGCTTGGCAACCGACTCATAATTATGATGGTTGCAGTGTCACAGGACCATATGATCAGATTTTGTGATCTGCCAAACAAAATCAACGGGGAAGCCGCATTCACTTAACAACCGTGTCACTAACTTAACCACTGCAGCGATTCACTTAACGGTGGCAAGAAAGGTCATTAACATGGGGCAAAACTCACTTAACAAATGTCTCACTTAGCAGCATAAATTTTGGGCTCAATTGCGGTCGTAAGTCCAGGACTACCTGTGTTCCCCTTCATCCTGCAGTTTCTTGCCATCTCTTGATCTCTGAAAGCAAACACCAGGGCATCTACCAATAGGGACAAGAAGTAGGAAGCAGCTGAAGCAAGAAGGGAGAAGAGTTTGAAAGGAGCAATCTTTTTCTGCCCATCCTGAATGGCCATAGTACTGCTTATTTCTTGTTGCTGAAGAAAGATAAGAGTATGAGGAGGTGAAAAAGCTGCAGCAGGAGGAGGAGCGGGTGGGCAGGTGGCCAGACAGTACATAGAAGAAATCAGACAGGTGGGCAGAAGGTGGTGAAATGTATTAGAAATGAGTGAGCAAGCAATAGACAGCTGTACTGATTGGATAAAAGAGACAAAAAGGACAGCATTCTTATGTAATGTTGTAATAGCTGATGAAAAAGTACTGACCGAACTGCAAAATGAATATGTTGTGACTACTGTTTTTGCACTGAAGCGCTATGTAATTTTACATAACGTGGAAAAAAAAACTCAATTCAACTATGACTCTTTAAAATCATTTTAACAGGCTTCATTTTCAACGAAAGACTTAAAAAAAAATGTACATGAGTGATTCAGATAATTTTAATCTTTACCTTCTGGCTTCCTCTTTCTGCTGTTCTTTCCAAGTACTTTCCATGTAACGTAAGGCATAGTCACTTTCATCTTTGTATCTAAAAATAATGAAATTAAATGCGAGGCTCTTTATCTAGCAGAATTGTTTTGCCTTGAACAATATTGTTAGTCCTGGGGAAAAGATTTAGAGCATGCACAATAGAAAGGGGGGGGGGAGAAAGTTCTGTTAATATATGTGGCTTTCTTTAGGTAACAGTGGACATCATGCTATGTAATCAATATTAATTATTAATTGCAATATTTATTTAGAACTAGAGTTGGGTATATTTAAATAAAATAGAAACATGCCAGTTAATGTTATAATTGCAGCGCTAAACTAAGCCAGTGTTAAGCCACAATATAGTTATCTCTTTTCCAAGGCAAGCAATTAAGTATCTTATACTTACAGTACAACAATCTCTTTCCTTTCTGCTAAAATGATTGCAAGCCACATAATATTCCCTGAACTTTCTGACTGTCGTTTTGAAAAGAGGCATTCACTCAATACAATATAGAAGAGTTACTGATAATTTTGGCAGAAATATAATTTTCTTGTACAGTTGTTGCAGGCAGAATAGTGCCCAATGATGTCGGTTTAAAAATGCGTGTGTTACTTTTTCAAAAACCTTTTATCTCTGTTATAGAAATTCATGTAAATGATATGATTGGTATAAGTAGACAACAGTAAAATTACGTTAAAGCTTATTTTCTCACTTTGACCGATCATAACCAAATATCTCTCTGATATGTTTCGAGATCTCTTCTTGAGGCTCTCCTTCATCATCAATAAAATCTTCCATTTCAGAATCATATTCATCTTCATCTTCAAACTTTCTTTTATAGCTACTGGTAATAGGTGGAAGAGATGGTCTTGGAAAACCTAGGGCAGAAATTTCAGACATTTTCTATAGAGACTCAACTCTTCATAAATTGCCTACTTGAAGGTAAAACAACAGTCCATACCTAAGACAGAGGAAGGGCATGAGAAAATTCTATCTCTGCTGCAGCCTGGAAAATCCTAAAGCACACTGGCTGCTCTTCTCTGTGCCAAGGAGATTGGGGGCTTGTCATTTCTGCTGCATGCGTAGGACTCCCTAGTTGCTTGTACTGCAACTGCCCAAACTGAGAATCACCCCAACACACATGGAAAGGCTTCAGGGTAGATGCCGTTGGCATGCAACAACACAACCTGTCAGATGGTTCAGGAACATCTATTCTAAAAACTTACTGAAGCCAGCAGGATTTATACCCAAGTCAAGCATTAGGTTAGAGCAATGTTTTTCAAACTTGGCTATTTTAAGATGTCTGGACTTCAACTCCCAGAATGCCACGCCCTGCATCTTAAAAAGTTTTCAAGTTTGAAAAAATCTGGGTAAGAGAGCTCTTATTTTGTGGGGCAGAATATTTTTGAGATGCAATTTTAAATAGTTGTGTTGAAGTCATCTCTAAATACATACATACATACCGTATATGCCGGCGTACAAGGCGACCCGGTGTATAAGACGACGCCCGTCTTTGTCGCCGAGCTGCATTCCTAGAACGTCGTCTTATACGCCGGAAACTACCAGTATTTCCGGCGTATAAGACGACTCGACGTGTAAGACGACCCCCGTCTTTGGCGCTGATTTTAGCGCTTGCGGAAGTCGCCTTATACGCCGACATATACGGTACACATACATACATACAGTGCTTTTTTTCTAAAAAAAAAAAAAAAAGTGCCGGAACTCACACGTCATACAATCCGCCTTGCCTACCCTACAAGGTTCCATCCCAAAAAAGGTGCCGGAACTCTGTTCTGGGCGTTCTATGAGAAAAAAAAGCCCTGAATACATACATACATACATAGAAACACAAACTTTCAAGATACCTTGTGGGGGAATCCCTGGTCTATGATTAGGAAATGGCCTCATTCCATTCATCTGTCTTGGAACCAGATTTTTGGACGAGATTGTTTCCGATACAACAGTACACTTTGGTTTTAGAGTTCCAGCTGTAGTCATACTTGGCCGACCTGGTCCTGAGCTGCTATCCCTTCCAGGTCCAGTGATTACATTGGAATTTGGCCGACCAGGTCCTACGCCTTGGCTACTGCCTAAACATACTGGTCTTGAAGCAATACTTGGTCGACTAGATCCCATGCTTAAATTATTACTGGCAAGTCTAGGTCCTGTGCTTGAGCTACCGCTTTGCTGCCCTTGTCCTGAGCTGTTTTCTGATCTCCTGGGTCCCATGCTACGTGATCCATGCCCAGGAATCAAACTGTGGCTTGGCTGCCTGGGGCCTGAATTCAAGCTGCTCTTTGATCGTGCAGGAGGTCCTCCTGTGACTGAAATGTTGCTTGCTTGCTTGGAGCTGGATTTTTTATAAGTTTCTTGCTGGGCAGAAACCACACTAGTCGATTTTATATGGGTGCTATTTTTTTTCAAACTAAGGTCTTTATTAGATGATTGTCGGAGGGTTCCGTTTGCAGCTGTTTTCAAGACTACAGTTTGGGACTTAGATCCAGTTTTTCCTCCTCCACTGGGTGCAGGTTTAACGTGATTATTGTGATTATTGTGAGGAGGGCTTTTCAAAGGCCCTTTGGGTGTAGATTTTACTTTTTCAGCATGGCTTGCTTTGGAACTAGATGCCAATTTCGAAGGTTTTTCACTTAAAATTTGCCCTTTGGTTTTCTTATCTTTATTATTTTGTGAGGGAATGTTTCCTTTTGAAAAGGTGGGTTTGTCTGTTGAATGCTTGCCAGCTTTAGCATTTACTAAATCCCTCTGGGAAATTTCTTTTTTGGAAGAACCTGATGCAGTTGCACGTTTCATTTCTTTCTCTGATTTCTTTTCTTTTAGTATAATCTCTTTTCTGTTTCTCTTCTCTAAGTAGTCTCGCTCTCTTAATTCTTCTGCGGTCATTGGTCTTTCTTCTGTCTTTTTTACAACTTTTATTTCAACTGGCTCATACTGTTTTTTTTCAGCCAGCTTTAAAAGATCATTAAAATTCATTGCTGGAGGTGCACTTTTGGCTAGCACCTTTGGTTTTTCTGAACGTTTGGGTGGTTTCTCTTCATACTCTTCTGGTTCCTGCTCAGACTCTGACAGATCATAATCTTCTTCGTTCATTTCATCCTGCGCCCTACAATCTGTGCTTCCAGAAGTTGTGTTTTCATGTGCTTGCTTCTTTTTAGGCTTCTCATCAATAGGAATGCCATTATAGCCATGAAAATTATCCTTTGTCCGCGAAGCCATAGCCCTGGCTTTTCGGTCATGTTTCATTTCCACACGCCTAGCCAGGAGTTCCTCTTTTCTTCTTTTTTCCAGAAGAACTATAAAGAAAAAAAAAAAGCTTTAGTATATCAAAAGGGCTCTGCATTTTGAAATATGTATCTTGCAGATGTAGGTTGAAAATTTATATTCTAACTATATATTATCTAAATTATCACATTACAGATTCAGCTTACAGGAATTCAGTAGGAAATAACCACACAGATTTTAACTGAAACGTCTCTTTAAGTAAGAGGGCTGGTACCAAAAAACCTGTCCAAGAGGCATGGGTTTCAATTACGCACAAACGTCTCACTCTACTTTGAGACTAAGAGGACCATTAAGGAATAGTTCTGTATTAAGATATGGGAGGACCCGCTGCTCTGGGCAAGTGCAGTAGTTCTTGTTTTACAACCATTAATTCAGTAAATGTTCAAAACGGCAACAGGGCTGAACAAGTGGACTTTGTAATGCTTCTGCAGTCACATGATCAAAATTCAGGTGCTCGGTAGCCCACCTACTACACTTATGACTGTGTGGTGCAGCCACTCTTCCCACCCATCTCCCTTGTGGATCTAGGCCAGTGGTTCTCAGCCTGTGGGTCGGGACCCCATTTGGGGTCGAATGACCATTTCACGGGGGTCGCCAAACAATGCAGTCCATCATTTTTTCCCCGTTTCCTTAGCTGTGTTACTCCCTTTTATTCTATTGGCTTTTGAAAACCAATAGAATAGACTCTCTTGAATAGAGTCTAATTCTATTGGCTTTCAAAAGCCAATAGGAATTGTCCAGGCTGTCTCTGCCCTGCTGAGCCCGCCAAAAGTCCCATTCTGCAAACGGTGCTGCAAGTTGTCTGCAGCGAAGGCGAGCTGTCTGGAAGTTTCCACCCTTCCCTGCTGAGCATTACTAAAAATGTAAGTAAAAGAGGGCCAGGGGTGGGAGGCTGGTGGGCGCAGGAAGGGTTGCTGGCGCGCGTGGGGCCCGGCGGGTGCCTTACCTCCCTTGGGCTGGGCCAGCTGGTGGCCCAGCCGGTGGTCAGCCTGCGCCATCTCTGCCGCTTGCCAACTACGCCTTGGCTGGTGCAGGAGGCGGCACCACGCATGAGTGGCGCTCCCGGGCAGGAAAACTCGACTTACGACCAGTTGTGTAGTCCTCGACTTACGACCGGTTGAGTAGTCCTCGACTTATGACCGGTTGGGGTCGCGGCATTAAAAAGGTTGAGAACCACTGATCTAGGCCATCCTGCACAGTAGTTTTGGCAGTAGTGCCAAGGCTGAGCCTGAAATAGATGCCTGGGTCTTCAGCAGTCTTAGCCAACCGCCCCCAGGATTGACATCAACCTTAGCACTTTTGCTTCCACTGAAGGGCTTCTTCAAGGTGTACAAGGCTTCCCCATGATCTGCAAGGCACTGCTCATCTTCAGCTGTTTTCTCTAGCTGCTGAGAGGTGTGTGCAGTCTATTCAAGGCAGTAACAGGCCTTGTCTCCTAAAGCCACTTTGTACTTTCTCCAATGCTTTGTGTGACTTACCTCACAAAAGGGTATGAGGGAGGTGGCAGGTGGTTTGAGACTGCTGAATGCCCCAGGACCTCTATTTTAGACCCAGCCCTGGGCACTGCCACCAAGTGCTGCATGGCAGGCAAGCTTAAGCTTTGCATTGCATTGGGACACCTCCATTTAACTCACACATGGTCTGCACAGACCTCCTGGGGCCTCCCCACTGTGGTGGATTGTACTGGTCAAGATTCCCAAGAGAGAGAGAGAGAGAAGGAGTACATTCCAAGAATAAGAAACAGTTCAGTTCATATAGTTTGTATGGGAGAGAGGATGAAGACGGCCCCTCCCTAACAGTTCTCTGAGTTTAGGCTTGTGTAGAGTGGTTTCATTTTGCAAGATTCTGTCTGGATGTGTGGAACAATAATGAAATATACTTGGAAGAATCATCATGCGTTTGGTTTTGGGGGCCTGACAGCTCTCCCACTCCTTATCTAGGACTCCATCTGCTTAATGACCAGGAGATTGTGGTTGTTCAGCAAAGTGGTGATAGGTTATCTTGCTTAATGATTGCTTTGCTCAACAACCCAAGATTCCGGTTCCAATTGTGACTGTAAGTCAAGGACTACCTGTAGCTCTTTGTAAGATGGCAAAAGAAAATCAGTACACTATTCTTTTTTTAACTGTATTTGTTTTTGCTTTTAACTTATCAACTTACTTCTAATTACCTGTATATAGATACAAAACTAAAATTGTTATCCCAGGAAACTGGTCCTGCCTGGTGTGCAATGCCCAATGAAAACACACACTGAGGTGGAGATTGCAAAAGACTTTATTCTGCATAGAAAAAGGCCACAGGGGGATCACTCCCACTAGGCCTGTGCAAAGACCACAACTTAAACATATTTTTATAACTTTACTTGCTCTTAAGCCCCGTAAATCATGCCCAAAAGATCAACCCATCTTCATTCCCTATATTTAGCAATTTGTGTATATATTTTAGCATAATCATCACTTACACAATTCCCAGCATTTGCTACCCCCAGGTTCCTTTTTTTTCCCTATGCGGTCACCTTCTTCCATGACTACTTTTGGGGTTTCATCAGAGCAACCATTCCTGAGGGTTTTACTGACCGAGCCGCTTTCATTACCCCTTATATTGTAGCAACTGACTGCAAAATGTCTGTGAAGCTAAAATAAGAATTCCTTGCAGAGACTAAAGAACAACAAACAATTAAAAAAAAATCCGTTTTGTTACTGCTTCAGTGTCAAGAGGACACTGAATACGTAAAAGTAAGGAAAGCACGACAATGATTTTCAAAAGGAAGGCAGAAAAAAGTTATTCTCAAGAATAACTAACAACAGCCTTTATAGAAAGAAAAATACTGAACGATACCCTTTTTCTTCTGTTCCTCTTCTTGCCTTCTGAGAAAGGCTCGCACAGCTGCTGACTGAACACCTTTAACTTTTGGATCCTTTTTGGGAGGACCAACTGCCAAACTGTACCTCTTCTGCAATGAAACAAAAGTTTCACAAAGATGAGAAACAAATACGAACTTATTGAGCAACTGTTTGCAGCTACGTCCAAAAGGATTATTACTATGCAAAAAATTTCTTCATGCATTAGAGTAAGAATTACTTTATGAACAAACAAAAATAGAAATGCAATGTATATAGACTAACAGAAGAAAACTTAAATTCAGCTCTGCATCTCAACTTTATATGGAATCTAAGAGATTTTTAAAGAGAAAGTACTAAGGTAACAAAACACATAACATAACATAAAATGACAAATAAACAGGGACATTATTTCTATTGGACTGTAATGAATACCAGCGACTGAGTTCCTTTTTATAGGGTTTGGGATTTTATCAAGAAAAAGTTCCCTTAAAAGGATTGGGAAAAGAGTCACTACTCTTAGCTCTTTCAAAGAGATTCTTCTGAACGCTCAAATAAAAAAAATGAGATATTTGGGAATCAAATACCAAATCAAATACAAAAAATATTTGCTAGGTTATAAATTTCTGCTAGGTTATAAAATGTAAGTTTTTCTATGCACTAGTTCAAAATATGACATTTTAATTATCCTTTCCCTTATTATTTTTTTTTTGGGGGGGGGAACAACTGCTTCTGACTTACAAAATACTGTGGTGCTAAATAATGTTTTACTAACATTAAGCTAGAACAATTGGAGAATATATAAAATATCAAAAGAATCATTTTAACAATATCTTTTCCGGATATACTTAGCCCTACACTTAACAGGGCATCTATTGTTTTAGAATAAAATCTTAGGCACATCGATCTATCAATTCACTTCCAAATACTGGTAGATTAAGTCCAGATTAGTTTGGCACTATGAGCAGTCATAACCCATAGACCAGTGGTGGGGAACCTATGGCACGCATGCCAGAGGTGGCACTCAGAGCCCTCTCTGCGGGCACACATGCCATTGCCCCAGCCTTGCCTCCTCCTGTGACCCCCTCCTCACCAGCAGCCTCCCTGGAGGAGAGTCGCCCCCATGTGGCCCACGCGGAGCAGCACAGCCAAGGACATGGCAGCCAGGCAGCGTAGACAAGACTCTGCCCTCACACCCCATCACGCACAATTGATGCTGCGGGGCGCGGGCAGAGGGCATGGCCACAATAGTACTGCTGGGCTGCCTGGGCAATCTGCGGCAGACCCTGGAGGCAGTGTGTGGCCCTGCAGGCAGGCGGGGTGGGGGCAGGGCAGGGGGTGGAGCGGGGGCAGGACCAGTTTTTGGGCACTCATCTCTAAAAGGTTCGCCATCACTGCCGTAGACTATATAACTTTATCACCTTTTATTCATATACAAAGGAATGGATGAAAAAATAGCAAACTCTATTTTTCTAGCAAATTATCATCTGATATTTGGAAAGAACTCAGGAAACTATGGGTAGCTGAAGTGTGAATACAAATCAAGTCTGAAAACTGGTGGAAAGTGAAGTTTATGATATATCTGAAAAATCTAAGTGGAATCAGGCCCATATAAATCTTCGTAATAGTAGTTTGCAGAAACTAAGCAATAAACGACATAACCACAGAAGTACCAGCATTGCATTATCTAAACTGCAACTTCATAAAGGGATAGCCAGAAATCCACCTTTGGTGGAAAACACATTGTTTGGGTTTTCTTGATAGGTTTTTACAAGTGGAAACACCGATTCTTGCTTTTTCAATAGCATTGGATGACATCTCTATATCTAAATAATTCGTAGCAAAGTGCTAATTATATATTGCTCTTATTACAAAGTACCAATACAGAGATAAAATGAGCAAAAATTCCAAATGCCTTTAGAAAGGTTTTAAAGAGCTGAGTGACGTACTACATGCTCTCTACATATAGGTTCAGAAATGATTTAACATTGTAAAGTTAGCATTAATTTCCTTTCTCATAAGGACTGCAGAAATATTTTAAAATAATATTTTAATATTTTAAAATAATTTTAAAATATTTTAGAACAGTGGTTCTCAACCTTTTTAATGCCACCACCCCCCAACTGGTCGTAAGTCGAGGACTACCCAACCGGTCGTAAGTCGAGGACTTTCCCTGTCCGGAAGCGCCCCGCATGCGTGATGCTGTCGCCTGCGCCGGCCAAGGTGTAGCTGGCAAGGGGCAGCGACGATGCAGGGCGACCACCAGCTGGGCCACCAACTGGCCCAGCCCAAGGGAGGTAAGGCACCTGCCGGGCCCCACGCGCACCAGCAACCCTCCCTGCGCCCGCCGGCCTCCCACCCCTGGCCCTCTTTTACTTCCATTTTTAGTAGTTGCTCAGCAGGGAGGGGTGGAAACTTCCAAACAGCTCGCCTTCGCTGCAGACAACTTGCAGCACCGTTTGCAGAATGGGACTTTTGGCGGGCTCAGCAGGGCAGAGACAGTCTGGACAATTCCTATTGGCTTTTGAAAGCCAATATAATTAGACTCTATTCAAGAGAGTCTATTCTATTGGCTTTCAAAAGCCAATAGAATAAAAGGGAGTAGCACAGCTAAGGAAAAGGGGGGAAAATGGCAGACTGCACTGTTTGGCGACCCCTGTGAAATGGTCGTTCGACCCCAAATGGGGTCACGACCCACAGGTTGAGAACCGCTGTTTTAGAATTTTTAGTGCTTTACTAAGCACTAAAGATTGTTATTGTAAAAAATTAATAAAATATATTTAAAAAGAAAAGAAATATTTTAAAATTTCACCCTCCCTATACTAAGAGTGAAAATAGCACCTGGTTTCAGATCTATCACAAGTCATTCAACAATACAATGAAGAAAACTCTCAATTCCGGCTAAGCAGGCTTCATATTCAAAATAATCAGAGCATATTAAGCTGCAATGAGTTTGTGCATGAATATAATATGCCCTTATTTCAGGATTTCTAATTCACTTAAGCTGTATATGATTACTGTATAATAACAGGAAGTAATATACTTAATATACCCATATATATTAAATTCTGAGATATCTGTAGCAATAGCTGATCTATTATTATGATCTATCAGTAAAACAGAGCTAGTCTACTGTTTCAGTTTAAAAACAGCTAATTAATTGTTAGAAGCTTTTCCCAAGGGAAATGAACTAATAGGCCAACAATTTTAGTGACACATGATGCAATGCTATAATTGTTTTTGCTTATATAAATAGTCAAATACAAATGTCATCTAACACATCTTTCTTTGAAAGCTGAACAATTTAAACTCTTTTTCTTATTTCTTGACAATAACTCAAATTGGCCTCCAATATAACACATACATTTTATAAAATTATTTTCATGATTATAAAATTAATGAGATGGTTCCCAGAGCTACGAAAGGAGTTTTCCTTCAGCTGAAGAACCTGCCCCTGCTGTCTGGTATTTGGAAAGAAAAAAACAGCATTGCTATCCTGTATGAAGCGTACAACATCCAAAAACAACATTAAAGCTCACATTTTAATGAAAGCTCCACATTATATTTGACGTGGAGCCTTCTTTATGAGTAATTTTGGAATAGGATTTAATTACTTTTGTATTTATTTTCCCATCCACCCATATTATTTTAACATGCTGAAATTCCAAGACATTAAGACACTGCGCTCTATTTTAAACTTGCAGGAGGGGCTCAATCCATCTAAGACAGGGGTTCCCAATCAGGGGTGCTTGTGCCCACTGGGGGCGCAAGACGATATTCCAGGGGGTGTGAAAACTTGGGTTTTCAAAATTATAGCGTATATGCATAATTCGTTGCCGTTATTTCAAACTTTTGTAAGGGGTGCAAGAGTATATCAGAAGCGTTCTAGGGGTGCGGGGTATAGAAAAGGTTGGGAACTGCTATTCTAAGGGCATTGTATTAATACAGAGTTACAAATGAATTATTCAAAATGTGAAAAAAATATTACTTGATGGTATCTAGGGGAATTCTCTACTATATTATTCCATAGAAACTGATGATCACATATATTAATGGTTTTGTTGGGTATATGGATAGGTCTGAGTTTATGTAAAAGTGTGAATAAAATGAATGTATTTAGGTACATTGCATTTATGATGCTAAGGTAGTAGAGGTAGGCAATCTGATGCTGTTCAGATGTTTGGAGCTTTTGCTGAAAAGTAGTACCATATATGCCGGCGTATTAGGCGACCCGGCGTATAAGACGACCCCCGTCTTTATTGCCGAGCCGCATTCCTAGAACGTCGTCTTATACGCCGGAAACTACCAGTATTTCCGGCGTATAAGACGACTCGGTGTATAAGACGACCCCCGTCTTTGGCGCCGAGTTTAGTGCTTCCGGAAGTCGTCTTATATGCCGGCATATACGGTACATAAATATTCTAACTACATATATTTGTTTTATCAACCCTTGGTCCAAACGGCCAATAGCTAAGTATGACAGGAGTTGTAAAAATTTGCAATGTACATTTGCTTATTTTTATAATACACAATATTGACTATGTTACTTAAAGCCATTCTCTGAATTTTAGAGAAAATTGGTAACTTTCTTGTCAAAAAACACAAAACAAAAACAACTGATCAAACTGAGAAAGTTATATTTTCTATATAGCAACGTTCACCAACTTTATTGCTATAGAATTACAAGCAGAATATGGGGTACAGTTCTTATAATAGATTTTTTCTTCCAAGTATATTTTACTCATAGAAAGCAAATACACCTTAGACATAATCCACTCTACTGAGAGGCAGCATTTTAAAGGATCCAGCAAAGCTCTGATTTCCTTTTTCATGTAATGTAATGGAGCAAGCACCTGGATTATATAGTCAAGGAAGGCCAATACAAAAAGGCTTAACAAAAAGAAATTCCCTTTAACAGCCCAACAGAATGACTTCATCTTGATATACTGTAAGAAAACTAGACAAGTGGTGTTCTTGGATTCCTGTCTGGCAGAGGAAAATAACTTTATGATCTCCACATGTTTTGAACTGTGTGACCAATGGCAGACATAAAAAAAAAAATTCACACTTCAAATTATTTGAAAGACCACCAGGTTGTCTCCTGCTGTTTTACCGAATCCCTCCATGCATTGGATTGGGCCTAAACTATTTCATTTGTTCTCCACAACAATAGCTTCAACAAAAACTTTAAAATGCTACATCACAGTTGGAAAAGCAGCAAATTCACAAATCTTAAGTCAGTCTAGTTGAAATGAATCTGATTGTACTATGACTTTCAAATTACTATTATATTGTTTGTTTGTACAGTATTTGAAGTTCCTTTATGTTGCAATAAAGGATAGTATCCCAGAGTTAAAAAATAGTGTATCTCCACCCAGGGGAAAGATCTCATCAATCCCTGGTATTACCAGGATATTTCTGCAGAAACATAATTCTTCTACTCCCCAATTGCTAGAGCTATAAAATTAACAGAGGGTCAGAAATCATATGGGAAGAAAAAAAATCATGATCCAAAGCCCTATAATATGCTCTTGACTCATAAAATATTTAGACTACCACTTCAGCTATTCTAAATGAATAGCTTTCTAATCTAGGTAGGAAAGGAAGACAACAAATTGATCTCCATCCTCACTTCTATTTGTTGGGTCATTGCCAGGATTATGCCCCATTTTTAAAAACCTCCAACAGAAAATCTTCAAAAATGGGAAGAGTTTATTTAGGTTCTTTACATAACTTAATTTTACGTCCTTAATTCCAAATAATTAGCATTCCAAGGGAAAAAAAGGCATTGGAGCAAAATACAATACATATTTTAAATATAGGAATGGACAAGCATGTTTACAGGTAGTCCTAATTTACAACTGTAATTAAGCCAGGAATTACAGTCATTAGTCATGCTGGACATTAAATGGATCACATAACTGCACCTGATTTTATGACTTTTGTCCCAGTTGTAAAACAAACACCATGGCGATTAAGTGAACAAACTCTTTACAATGGACATTTTTTTTGCAGAAAACTGGAAGCAAACTCTGGTTTCCAGCAAAAATGCCATAAATTGTGGTTATGTGACCGCAGGACACCACAAATGCTGCATCGTTTGCAAACACTTGCCAAAGACCCAAAATGTGATCACGTGACCAGGAGAGGGGGGAAATGGACCATGGATCTTCAAACCAGATCATAAGAATCTTTTTTGGTGTCCAGCATAACTTTAAACTTTATGACCTGTGCATATAAACATTCTCTTCCTTTGAAACAATTTAAAACATTGACAGGTTATGCTGGCTCCTATAATGAAATCTTTTGATCAATTGCTGTAACCAAAGGCTTACTTGACTCATGTGGGCAATTGGGAAAGAGAGAAAAAATCTCCCTAACTCAGAGGTCCCCAACCTTTTAAGTACCAGGGACCAGTTTCATGGAGAAGAGTTTTTCCGCAGACCGGAGTGTGTGGGTTTGTATGCTGCTTGCATCCCGCAGATGGGGCTTGGCTTGTTTGTGTGGACCAGTTGCTGGCATGCCACGGCCACAGACTGGGGATTAGGGATCCCTGCCCTAGATGATAGGGAGAAGATACTCTTTAACAGAAAGCTACCAGAGCATGCTTGTACTTTATACAAGAAAACATGACAAAACAAGTTATTGCTTGGTGTAATGTGTGAACCCAACCATCATCTCATATGCTCATATTCATGAGAAATAATAAAAACAGAAAAACAGCAAAGGCAAAGCTTAGAAATAACAAGGAATGAACACTAACAACGTTGTTTAATATTTCCATTAAAGATAATGAAAGGGAGGAGTTACAAGCAATGCTTTAATGGAAAAGTGAGCTTTGGAGAATCAAAGGATTGATTTGTTACTTTAAAATTAAGTGCATTCTTCATCTCCTTCTATGCTTTCCCCATAAAACACTTTAATATAGGTAGTCCTCAACTTACAACAGTTCATTAAGTGACTGTTCAAAATTACAACAGAACTGAAAAAAATGACATCACAATTTTTCACATTTACGACCATTGCAGCATCCCCAGGGTCACGTGATCAAAAATTTAGCCACTTGGCAACTGACTCATATGCACCTTTTGCAACTTTCAGACAAGCAAAGTCAATGGGGAAACCATATTCACTTAACTAATTGCACTGATTCACTACAGAGATTCACTGATTTGCAAACTATGGCAAAAAAGGTTATAAAATAGGGCAAAATTCACTTAAGAAATGTCTCACTTAGCAACAGAAATTTTGGGCTGAATAGAGATCATAAGTCAAGGACCACCTGCATATATTAACCTGAACTTAAAAGAATAGAATTTTTGTCATAAAATTGGCAATCTCAACTGCACTCCAAACACAACGTCTTTCAGAACACCTCAACAAAACCAGTACAGATTTCTAGCTGAAGATGAATGTGGCATTCATTGTTCCTTGTTTTGGTATAAATATAGAAAGCTATACCTTGTTGTTAAGGGGAAAAAAACATACTCTATTGCTGGTTTGTGCCTTGAATGCTATAAAATCCCATAGCATAACCATAATCTATAATAATAAAATAAAAGAGTCACAACTTGATTCCCATATGCTAGAATTTCTGCAGTTTTAAGGCTGTAATTCAGTTATGTGAAATACAGTAAACATGTACAAGCATACAAAGGCAAGCACAAGTTTCAAAGAACAGAGAAGTATCTGCCTGATTACTACTCATTACATACTGTTTCGTACAACTGGATATACCATACATTTAACTTGGAGTAAAGAAAACCTGCATCAAATACACTTAGCTCAAATACAATTAAGACAGTAAAATAAATGCAATTAACAGCTCTCTTGAGACTAGGCCCTTTACTATTCTTTCTTATTTAATGTTATCTCTCTCCTTCCAAATGTATTTCTGGAACCAGCTCCAAAAAAAAATCTAATCTTTCTCTTCTTGGCAACAAAGATACTACTGAAGCCAATTTAAAAAAAAAAACCCAATGCTTCTTTAGTTGAGAAAGCAATACTTTTTATGAGTAATTTTATTTGCAAAATGGTGGGAAAAGGACGAGAAAGACTTCCGAAACCAGGACCACTGTATGTAGGAGGAAGTTAGTTTTCACTTCACTGACACCCTGAACCACCTTTTCTGGGGTTGAAAATAGCACTGCGGGTTGTAGGAGTCTGTCTGGTCAGGATCTCGAGATCCGAGGGGAAAAAGACCTTCCGGATATTTCTTCCAGAAAGCCTGGCCAAAAACAGGCTGCCAGCTGAATGAGCGGGAGATGACGGTCTGGGTCTGTAATCATGCCGCAAAGCCTGAGCGGATGCGCTACCGCGAGGGATGGCGAATCACTCTTTCAATACTCCGGCTACTTAGAGGCGAAGGGCCGTATCGCCTCCGGAAAGGAAGAGTTGGGCAACAGCTGGCATCCACGTCAATCCCAGCCCGCCGCATCCCTCTTCCTCCACCTTCCCTTCCCTTCCCTTCTTTCCTTCTCACCGGTACGGCGCTCGATCCCTGCTGTTCCGAGGCCCTCACGAGGATTTCGCGGAAATCCATGACGGGCTCTCTCCGAGGCTCTTTCCCTGCGAGGCGCTCGGGCGGCGAGGAGCGCCCCTCAACTCTCCTCCCGTCTCGTCTCTCCTTCTCTCTCTCTCTCCTCTCTCTCTCTTCGGACTCGCTCCTCGCCCACCTGACGAAAAAGTTGCTGGCAACGCCCCTCCCTACCCTCACTTCCGGCCCGCGGGCCGCTCTGCCCCCCTCTCTCTCCCTCTCTTTTTATATCGCCTCGGAGTTTTCGACCGAGTTTTTTTTTGACAAACGTCACTTCCGTCACTCACGCCATAAGCGAGCACGCAGGCGCCCTCTCCCTTCCCGGATTTTTTTTTTTAAAAATGGGCCTGTAACGTCACGTGATCGAGCTTTTTAGAAAGGCTTTCGGAGCGGAAGGTTCCACGTGGTAGTGGTAAGGGTGAGTTGAGGGCTCGTTTCTTCTGTTCCTCTCGGCGATGGTTCCCTATGGATGTTGAGGGGGTTGGGCTTATACGTGCTGATGTTGGTTGTTTTTGCTGTGGGCTTCTATGGACTCGGACGCGGAACAGCGCCGGGCCGGATTGGGGTTAGGGCTGGTTATACGCTAGCTAGATTGGGGATCACGATTCACCCACGAAGGAGGGAATATGGAGCTATTCCCCTTCTATTGCAATTGCATGTAGCTGCTTGGATGTGGTCGGGTGGTCGCTGGAGGTGAAAACTTAAGGGTTTCACTTTTGTGTGGCTTTTTGCGTTTTAAGTCACCATGAATTCACTTTTGATCATGCGTGTATGTTGAAGTAGAAATTTCTGTTACATTTTTATCCTGCCTTTGCTATAAATAACTGAAGGCGTTGACAGTAGCTAATACTTATCTTATTTTCCTCTCAATCCTGTGAGTGGCTTTGGCTAAGAGAGAAAGTGACAGGTCCAGAGTCCCCAACTGTCTTTTATGCCACAAGTTTCCTGGTTCCTGGGCCAGCATCTTCACCATCACACCAAACTGGAACTCTTCTAACATCTTGATAAGAATAATTGACCTTATTTGTAACATCCTCCAAATTGAGGAATTAGTGCATTTTCACATTTTCATTTCTATGTGAAGTTTCTCTAGGTATCAGTAAAAAGGCAGTAAAAATGCAAGCCTTCCAGGCTTGCATTTAACATATAGCACTGTATATTATAGTCTGAATTTTGGATATTCTGTTCTCTGATAGAGTTATGGAGAGATTGAAAACCTTTGTTTTTTTTTGTCTTGGTATTGTGGTAGGAATGGCTAACTAGTTCATTGCAACAAGTTTTCTTTAATTTTCATTGTTATTTTAATAAACCATAGTCTTAGTATGTTCACCCTTAGATATGAAGAGAAAATATGGTTCATTGAAAATAAAGTTCTTATCAAACTTCTTATCTCAAGTGCTTGGTGGTAAGGACAGGGAGGCAGGAACTAGGTTTACAGATTTAATAATAAACTTATGGTTTAATCTAATCATTATGTAACTGTCTCAAGTGGTGTTAGTACCCGATTAGTCTTGTCTGAAGCCAGATAGAGCTAGGTCTGAGTATTTTCAAGATTTTCAGTGAATACTGAAATGATAGGCTGAGAAGTTAAGCATTCCAAAAGACACCAGTGGCAAACTACTTTTGTATTGCTGCCAATACAAAATGGATGAGTCTAGGGGGAAAAATATCAGTTTGTCTTATTTATTAGAAGTTTAAAGTTTTACAACATTCATTCCTCACGCTTCTCTTGCTGCCGTCCTGTGAGATAGGATGTCCTAAAAGTCACTGGATCAAAGTTATCCAAGTGAGCTTTGTGGCTGAAGGTGGACTACAATCTGAGTTTCTGTGATGCCAGTCCAACATGTTTTAACAATATGCTATCCTGACTAGAAGATTTCACCTTAATATTGTGATCATTGATATAAGGTTCAACTATCATAGAGTAAAATATCTCAAAAGTGTTTAAGAGTCAGTTGTAGCTTTAAGAGCTAGTTTATTCTAGTGGTTAAGGCACCGGGCTAGATACCAGGAGAGTGTTAGTTCATGTGCTGCACCTTAGGCATGAAAGCTAGCTGGGTAACCTTAGGCCAGTCACTCTCAGCCACGATGTTGGGCTCGGATAACAAGCCTGTTGATCAATTCCTTTCATAACCAATGAATTAAGTCTTGCTTGATGCAAAAAAAGTAGACCCTGCACTTAAAGGAAAATTAAAGGTGCTCACATTATCAAAGCTCAAGCTCCATCTTAAGATATCTTTAATTTTAATGACGAAGAATTATAAAAACAATGCGATTGGAGTTGCCAATACTGTTAGTTACTATTAACTTCTCAGCAGCTTAACATCAGTATTTGAGTAAGCAGGTGTTCCTTTTCACTGACTGGTGTAACCTTTGTTGAAAAAGTTTTTGGTGTTATGTATGAATGTTATAGAAGGAAAAGATGCAAACCTCCCAAATGTGAAATCTAGATTTAATATATTGGTACAGAAAAATTCCATGTAAAATAGTATCCTGTGTGCTGCCCCACTCCCTTCCACCCCCCCACATACGCACACTGCAAGAGTTCTACAGGTGTTTATTCAAACCTCTCAAACAGGTCCTCAGAAAGCAACCGTTGCATAGGTCCAGATTCCAAGTTCAGTGCAGGAAGAGTCCCTGGGTATACACAAGTCCAGGAAAGCAAGCCAGGAGTCAAACAGGCCAGGATACACGACACACGGTACAGAACTGGGCATGTTGCTCTAGCAACACTCAAGTCCTCAGGGTGGTGGTAAGTAGGCAATGTGGTGCAGATCTTCATGAGAGGCAGTGTTGCCTCCTCATGAGTAGTCTTGCTGACCGGCATTGTGTCTGTCTCCTTTCTGCTCTACCTGTTCATGGATCAGAAGGCAATATGGACTCCATCTCCTCATTGCTGTTCTGGGTCCTACACTGGAGCTTCCTGGCCAACTTGCAGCTGTGTCTCGCCTGCCTCAGCCTGTTGCTGGTCCAATCCAGCTGAGGTTGCTCCATCAGGCCAATACTTGGCTCCACACTTTCCTATGCAGACTCAAACTTGCCCTCCTCCTCTGAACTCGCATCTGGAGATGGGTCTGGGAGTGGGTGCATGACACTCCGTGCCTGTGAAACAAATGCCAAGGAGACCTCCAAAGTCCTTTTCAGCCCTATGATTCTGTGTATTATATGTATCTTATTAGTTTAAAAAGCAAACAAGCCAAATGTTTAATTAAGTACATGGATACTCTTTTTACTTCAAAACTTCCATAATGTGCTGCTATCTTTATTATAGATACAAATCAATAGATTTTGAATATGGATTTTTAGTGGCAAGTAATTATTCTCAATCATTTATCCTCATCTAAAATGATTTTGTTAAGAGAGGTACAATATCAAGTATGCTATTTTACTTTGATGAAAACCAAAAGATGACTAATGACTGGTGAATCAGTAGATGGCACTCTTTCCCCTTAGTCCGGAGCTAAGAGGCTAAATGTTAGCAAACTGTATGTGTTCTGTGTCTTTACCACACTGTGAGGGAAAAACTATATGTCCTGCTTGTGGGCACCCAGGTAGTGCCTGACTCGCCCTTAAAGGGGGTCTGGGCATGATCCAATAAAGATATTGCTATAGTCTTAAAATGAAGTTACTGATGCAATATTTAAAGATATTGCATTCTATAAAGCTTGTACAATGATTTTTAGGGTAGATTTGCATACCACATTAAGCCAAATGGTAACAGTCCACATTACAACTGTCATGATTTGTGGTTCAATTCTTTGTCTCCTATAATTTCTCTCTTCCAGTGTAGAAATTTTTTTCTTGTTCATTAAAATGTACTTAAGACTTTTGATAGCATCCTGCTCCAAAATATTTTTATATATTTATTTGTATCTCATCTTTATTTTTTTTACAAATAACTCAAGGCGACACACTTATCTCGCATAACTTCCTCCTCCTATTTGTCCCACAACAATAACCCTATGAGGTGGGTTGAGCTGTTTTACTGGCCAGTTATCAAATAATGTTAAAGAGAATATTTATTTTAATAATCCAGTAAATCCTAAGCAAATGGCAGTTTTCAGCGAAGTGAAGAAAAATTCTTGACCTTTGTCATCATAGTGTGTATCTTTTACATTAATTTTGTTGTTCATTTGTTTTACTGCTGATGTTTTTATATGGTATGTTCACTGCCCAAAGTTTTGTCGGATAGATAGGCAACCTTACAAATTTAATAAATAAAATAAATAAATTGATAGGTTAATGCAAGTCACCAGGATCTGAGTTCAGCTCAAAGGCAGCTTTGTTTTACTTGTATATTGCTGTATGTATCTGCTCTACTGCCAAGCAATAAGAACTTTCAGGCCTGCTAGCGCTTGTTTAGTATTTAATTTCCTTGATTGGAGATTTGCAGTGTTTGGACTTCTATTTATTCATATATTCAGGGTAAACATAAAATTAGGGTTCATAGCATCAGCAGTCTAACAATTTTCTGCTTTTGAGCATTTCTTGGAAGAAAACTTCTTACAGACTTAAGTCTTCTCTCCTTTTCTCATTTCATGCACAATTTTTATGTGGAAAAAAATAAAATAAATTATTTCTACCTATCTTTGACCTTCCTAAGTTTCTTCTAAGACCACTGATATGCAAATACAGCTACCAACTATCGTTTATTAGCTTTTGAAAATTAGACTCATGGGGTGGGGGATGCTTCTCCCCAAGGTTGAATCAAAGTGGTATCAGCAGTCCTTTTGCCACCAGTAAACAATTGCCATAAAATTTGCTGCCCTCTTAAATTAGGACACAGCTATAACAATAAGAGGAAATGTTGTTTTTACAGATAGTCCTCACTTAAAGACTGGTCACTTAGTAACCATTCAAAGTTAGGATGGACCGCCCCCCCCCCCAAAGTACTTATAACCCAGGTTAAAAATTCCTATGGCATTCACGTGATTGTGTTTTAGGTGCTCAGCAATTGGCCTGCATTTATAGCTGTTTTGCAGTGTTCCACAGTTAATGTGACCACAATTTATATATATGTCAGGACCTGCCGTTTATTTCTTGTTTCTGGCAAAAAAAAAGGCCCATTGCAAATGATTCATTTAATGCAGGGATGACAAACTCGCAACATCACGTGATGTGTCGCGACATATTGCAACTTTTTTTCCATTGCCAGCAATGGGATGGACGTGGTTTTGGCA